GATAGCAAGACAACATGTTTTCGAGGGCGAACGGTTTTGGTTACCGAACTCCGGTAACATTGATATGCTAACTAGCTCCGAGCTGCGACATAATTTGTTCTTGCGCCGCCTCGGCGCCGCGGTGAACTGGTCGCATCAACTTTATCCAGGACATATTTGCGAAAGTGTCGGCAACCCGACCAATCGCGGTGTCGAAATGGTCCCGAACAAGCGCGGCTACCGTTCACTATTTTGTGCAACTTTATCGGCGTTACGGCAACGTCTGTTTTTTATTGCACAAAGTGTCCGGCCGTAAGGGGACCACCTACACGTCTCTGCTATTTTTGGAGATATCAAAAAACTGTGTTATCAAAAGTTTTTCAGTTCTGGCAAATCTATAACACGGCGGCGATAATTTCTTCGAGAATTGGAGGATTTTCGGAGATTTCAATGCCATCTTCACTTTTCTAATTGTAATCGAATATTTTTTCTTTTTATACATTAGTCGATGCAGCACGACATTTTCTATAAAAAAATGTACTGGCCCATGTGTGTCGAAAAGTTGTGAGTTTAACTTTTCCGCTCATTAAGTCTAATCAAATATTCTGGACATACGTGATACAAACCGGAAATTGCATTTTCGTGAGGGGGATAATGGAAATTGGGAAATTTGAACCTTGCTTGCAAATGAAAATTTTGATAAGGCATATCTTTTGAGTACAAAATGCATGATCATGCTATCCAACAGAATTTATCATTTTTGTTATATTTTTTGAAAGGTAAACAAGATGTCCCAAGACTTATTAAGGCTAATTCCAGGAAATCTGGGATTCCTGAGGTCATTTGAACTAACTTTTTCCTCAGCGAAAATGCAGTCCACAGCTTTCTTTTTACGAATTATTTTATTACTAATGTAATGTATTTTCCATTTTGTTCGATGACCTTTTGCCATCTCTCTGACAACTTGAAAATTCCACGCTCGTAGCATTGCCCTGCATTGTTCTGTTGGAAAATGACACCTTTACGATCGACCAATTCTGGTCGCTTTTCCTGTCTCTTATACACATCTAGATGTGTATAAGAGACAGATATATATATATATATATATATCTGTCTCTTATACACATCTAGATGTGTATAAGAGACAGGCTTTTCCTCGACCGCTGCATTCAATTTGTCCAGTTGCTAACATTCGCGGATAATAAAAAATAACATAATAATAATAATAATAATAATTTTATAATATAACATTTACGGATATCATAAAAATGGGAAGATGTGTATAAGAGACAGGTTATAGGTGTCTCTCACTCCCATTTTTATGATATCCGTAAATGTTATATTATAAAATTATTATTATTATTATTATTATGTTATTTTTTATTATCCGCGAATGTTAGCAACTGGACAAATTGAATGCAGCGGTCGAGGAAAAGCCTGTCTCTTATACACATCTAGATGTGTATAAGAGACAGGCTTTTCCTCGACCGCTGCATTCAATTTGTCCAGTTGCTAACATTCGCGGATAATAAAAAATAACATAATAATAATAATAATAATAATTTTATAATATAACATTTACGGATATCATAAAAATGGGAAGATGTGTATAAGAGACAGGTTATAGGTGTCTCTCACTCCCATTTTTATGATATCCGTAAATGTTATATTATAAAATTATTATTATTATTATTATTATGTTATTTTTTATTATCCGCGAATGTTAGCAACTGGACAAATTGAATGCAGCGGTCGAGGAAAAGCCTGTCTCTTATACACATCTAGATGTGTATAAGAGACAGGCTTTTCCTCGACCGCTGCATTCAATTTGTCCAGTTGCTAACATTCGCGGATAATAAAAAATAACATAATAATAATAATAATAATAATTTTATAATATAACATTTACGGATATCATAAAAATGGGAAGATGTGTATAAGAGACAGGTTATAGGTGTCTCTCACTCCCATTTTTATGATATCCGTAAATGTTATATTATAAAATTATTATTATTATTATTATTATGTTATTTTTTATTATCCGCGAATGTTAGCAACTGGACAAATTGAATGCAGCGGTCGAGGAAAAGCCTGTCTCTTATACACATCTAGATGTGTATAAGAGACAGGCTTTTCCTCGACCGCTGCATTCAATTTGTCCAGTTGCTAACATTCGCGGATAATAAAAAATAACATAATAATAATAATAATAATAATTTTATAATATAACATTTACGGATATCATAAAAATGGGAAGATGTGTATAAGAGACAGGTTATAGGTGTCTCTCACTCCCATTTTTATGATATCCGTAAATGTTATATTATAAAATTATTATTATTATTATTATTATGTTATTTTTTATTATCCGCGAATGTTAGCAACTGGACAAATTGAATGCAGCGGTCGAGGAAAAGCCTGTCTCTTATACACATCTAGATGTGTATAAGAGACAGGCTTTTCCTCGACCGCTGCATTCAATTTGTCCAGTTGCTAACATTCGCGGATAATAAAAAATAACATAATAATAATAATAATAATAATTTTATAATATAACATTTACGGATATCATAAAAATGGGAGTGAGAGACACCTATAACTGAAATCGGCAATTACTTATTTGCCAACCCAATAATTCAGAACATTGTGCAACTAAGTCCGAAAATCTATTTAAATTTCTGCATCTTATTGCGGTCTATAGTACGTTCCGTTCTTCGATAAATTATATGAACATCGTTCAAATAAAACTTCGGCCAGCATACAAGCTAACAAGATGGCGCTCATTACAACTTTGAAACTTCGTTCTGTGAAGAAGTACCGATTCATCACTCGGAGACGATGCAAGGAGGAAAGTTCTTAGACAGACCGCGAGGGACAGTCGTCCTTAAAGTTCTGTAATTAGAGATTACTTGGAACAGTAGTCATTGTCTAACTGTAACACGCTATGCGTTAGAGTACTTTCTATAGCCCAGACACCCGGAAATTGGCAATGCAATTCTACAAAATAGCGCAGAGGATCTTGCATCCGTTTTATCGGATGGTTGATTCTGAACAGCGACATCGAACTGTTGCAACACCGATCAAACATTACTTCGTTAAACGAATGATTTTAAGGCAGGTGGATTATGCGATAAATAATAGAAATAGCAATACAAGCAAAAAGATTATTAAAATTCACAGGCAAAAAATGGACGAAGAAAATGCTTCTTTTATATTGATGATGAAAGAAAATGCTTCTCTTTTTTTAAAAAAACTCTGTATCGAATAAACTTGACAAATTTTCTGAATACAAGTTTTTTTACTTGTAAAATTATTTTCTTCATAACCTACACGCGCGCATTTGTCGCGTTGACATCAAACATTGATATTGAATATTGATATTTAATATCTTTGTACGCGTGTTTGGAATAGCTTATATATTTACATTGATATTGATTACACAGATATTGAAGCATTTGCACAACTCCAGGAAAATGTTACGTTCGTGCAACATAATTTTCGCACGTACGAGCATTTCGATACACAGGGTGACCGATTTAAATCGATCCAGTCGAATATCTTCGAAACCGTCGGTGATACTAAACAAAATATTTCAAATAAAATTTGAATGGTTTC